TTGTATTTTTCTTGAATATTAATAATTTTCTTGCTTGAAAAACACAAGCCGGACATTAATACTGTTATATTAATATATGTGAATGTCAAAATATGATAATATGATTTCAAGTTGTTAGAGCATCTATAATGCAACAATGTACATGACGTATACGTAACATGAAAGAGATATATACAAAATTAAATTAATGAATTTTTCTCTATCTTTACATGATCTTCGATATTTTACTTTATTTTTAGTAAGCATGTTATGCACAATGCATACATTTACATTGAAATTTTCAAATAAGGAGAGATGTATTAATCACATTATTGCATTGGTGTTGATGTTCCACGCCGAAAAATTATACTACGTATTAAGACATGTCTTGATATAACACTTTATCTTAATATAGCACTTTATTAAGATATTAAGATTTGAGGTCCCAACCTGGGTCCCATATCTAAATATAACACTTTATTAGTTCACAATTTTCTGGTTTGGGACTTCAGCACTCTTCCTCATTATCAAGCACTTTGTTTGGATCGTGCCGTCATTCATGTTTTCCTTCATTTCGTCATCGACATTTTTTATAATGATCGTTATTTTTTTATGGGAGACTCACACCATGTTATGGGACTTCAACGATGGGAGATGCTCTTAGTAATATACTGCTATTGATCGAATAGAAAAATAATGTGCATACATTTTAAATGATCACATTATTTATTGGAAACTTTTCAAGATAATTATGACACTGATAGCAAAAGGAAATAATTCTGTAGCTAAAATTAATTAGCAATAATAATTTGGGTTTGGCGGAAGGTGTCCATTGCCATGTTGGGAGGTGCAAGGACCAGCGCCTTGGCCTGATGATCGTTTCCATAAATCCATAAGAAGCCAAAGCCAACTGTACGTACTTCCCCCATCTTTGGGTCTCATGAATTATCGCCACTCTATGCTCGTGTCCTTATCACCAACCACCATACGCAACCTCTATATTTAATTCCTTTGCGTTATGTATTATTCAACTAACATCTCTTTTTCTTTGGATAAGTCCTTTCTACATTTTGTATCAACACATAATTAACACTAAACGTGATTCCTATTTCTTGACGTGTGATTGATAATAACTACTCCTTTCTTCATACAATGTAGCATTGTTATTGGTTTACAACTCTAATATTCTAGATAGAAGTAAGCAAAAGTAGAAAGTGTGTACAAAAATAAAAGTGTTCATAATCTTAAGGTATATTTGGGAGTTAAGGAAAAAGAGAGGGGAATGTTTGGGAGTTAAGGAAAAAGAGAGGGGAAGAATTTGAGGATAAGTTGTTTGAGGAGAAATAGAGGAGAAAATGTTGAAACAATTCTATTTATTTGAGAGTAATAGATTTGGAAAAAGATGGTTTTAGGATGAATTATGATTAAAATCATTTTTGAAATATGGCAGGTAAATTCAAATTATTGAATTGATATTCATTTTAAATTAAGTTTAAATTAAAAAAAACCATTTTGGAGGAACTTACAAGTTAAGCATTTAAGAGATTTTGGAGAATTGGAGGGTCAGAAACATTTTCCAAAATCATTCCTCCATATTTTTTAAACTCACATACACAAATTAGAGGGTCATCAACTCCCACATGTCTTCCCTCCCTTCCTTCCCAAATATCAACTCCCAAGCACATCCTTAGTCCTTAGAGTCAAGTTTGAGCAGTCGGGGTGTAACTCATTTGGTGAGATGAGGGCGTCACAATGCCACAATGGAGAAGTGTCATGTTCAATTCCTGGAAAAGATTTGGGCTGAAACTAACTTCTCTTCACCAGTTATGTAATCAAAGCTCAATTAACACTCAAGTCATCTTTTTTAGATGTTAAACATTCTAAAAGTAAACATATCAAAGCATTATGATGTTCTTACTTAAATTAAAATTTTCTATTTAATACGGAGTATGATCTATTTTTAGTCTGCCACTCAAATTCTGACTAAACTATAGACGTATTATAGCGCATGGGTGAGCATGTACTCGACAAATAAATGAATATTCACGGTCTATAGAAATCATAATGTAATTCATTCTATGATGAACTATATCTAGCCGGTTGAATGAGTGGTGAAATTCTAACACGTAACCTAGAGGTTACCATACATGGTAAGGATGTTTCTTTTGGACTGAAATTTGCTGGTGGTCTGGTCCGGTAAACGTCTAGTCTCTGTATATTTTATAACTACGGAAGTTTGATCTGATCTGGTCTAGTCTGATCTGATTTGGGACTGAAAATAGTTTTTGAAAGAGTACGTGTCATTTGCTTATTGCCCGCTTATAATCTCCTCTTATAATCTCCTCTATGATATGACATTATGAAGCATTATTGCACATATGGTTTTGTAATAGGTGGGCCACGCGTGAAAACTACTCCCTCCGTCCCATTTTACCTGTCATACTTTCCTTTTTGGGCTGTCCCAAAATAAGTGTCCACTTTCTTTTTTTGGGAAAGAAATATGTGGCCTACACCAATTCACTTTATTATACTCAAACCTCAACTACAACTTTTACTTTTTCAACCCCTTCATTAATTACCGTGTCAAGTCAAACTAAGACACATAAAATGGGACGGATGTAGTATAAGGTAAGAAACTAGGGAAATTAAAAGAATTGATGTAGGATTCTCTAGCCATGTTCTAAGCTTTAGGTACGATAATGCCCCATCTAATCATGCTTAGTTTTGAGCTTTAGGTGGGGTTCGAACCATGTTCTCCTTAATAATTTATGTTTCTCCAATGGTCTCACTTGATCGATGATGTGTCTTATTCATAGAACATCGTCAGGTTTTGGACATTTCGTTGTTGTTTATGTTTTGTTATATTCAATACAATATAGATCAATCATTTTACACATTTGACAATACTACAAAATAACTATAAAAAAAGATTGTAAGTAACTATTCAATAAATAAATATGATACTTTTCCGTCCCTCCACTGATAAAGTTTATTGTCTTCTTTTCCACCATCAACTTGTCTTTTTTAATTTTTTTATTCTACAAACCACCTCATGTCATTTTTTGCAAATAATGATTTTAGGTATAGTCTTCAAATGTCTAAACTATAATACTAAGTAACTGTACTAGTTGTATGTCATTAAGACATACATCAAGCTAAGGGAGTAAGGGATGACACACTTGTTAGCTTATGTGTTATGTTTACAAATAATGGAGTCAATCGCTAATCCACGAATGATATCATTAGGCGTAAGATTAAGATTACTATATATTATTTAAAGGTAGATTCTATGGTACCCATAAGGTATCATACCTTTATCCACATGGACCAATGAGCAGTGCCGGTCCTACCTAAACTCAGGCCTGAGTCGAGCTTCATAAAATGGGCCCCATATATAGTGTTTGTTTATCATATAAATTCACTAAAGTCGAATAATTAAATATCACAAAAATGCAATCTTGCAAAAGAAGTCTTCCGTTATCACAAAACGATATTGAATCTCATTTTCAGTTACCGCACTGCCGCAAAGGCTCCCACCTACGGTGGGGTAAGGGGGGTCGGATGTACGCAGTCTTACCCCTGTACTAAAGCACATAGAGACTGTTTTTGATGAAATTTTTTGAGCATCTTATTCATTAAGTCTAGTTTAGTTCTACTGAATTTCAGCTAAAAATTCAACTGGGAAGACAGTCAAATGAATTTTTGAAGATAACTGCGCAGTTAAACAACGCAGTATATTTCCGAAAATCATTTGAGTGCCTTCCCGGTTGAATTTTTAGCTGAAGTTCGGTATGGCTAAACTAGACTTAATGAAGATGCTCAAAAAAATTCATCAAAAAATTCCACCGAGAACCTCCCCAATTGACGATGATCGGACAGAACCTCCTACAAAAGGGTTTATTTGCACTTTTTTGATTAGTTTGAGGGCTTATTTGCCCCTTTTCCCTTGAATGTATTAAAAAATTACTTAAGTAAAACCCGTCAAACAGTTTTAGATACATAATTTAGTGGAATCCTCAACAATATATACTATAAACTTGCTCTACAAATCAGCACTCGAACTAACTTAAAAAGTGCAAATCACCCCTTATATAAGAAGTTATGTCCGACCGTCACCACTTGGGGTGGTTCCCAGTGGAATTTTTTTATGAAAATTTTTGAGCATCTTCTTCATTAAGTCTAGTTTATTCATACCAAATGTCAACTAAAAATTCAACAAATAAGGCAGTCAAATGATTTTCTAAAATATACTACGCTGTTTAACTGCCCAGTTATCTTCAAAAATTCATTTGACTGTCTTCCCGATTGAATTTGTTGCTGACATTTGGTATGGGTAAATTAGATTTAATAAAGAATATGCTCAAAAAAATTCATAAAAAAATTTCACTAGGAACCGCCCCAAATGGTGACGGCCTTGGAAAATACATAGGTATAATAATAGTAATGTTTAAAAAATTATGGGCCCCTAATTTTTTCAATTTTTTGGGGCCCTGAGGCTTGGGCCTCTCCAGCCTAACATAAGGCACGGGCCTGCCAATGAGAATGTAGCAATTGAATTATTTAAATCTAAATTAAAAATGATAAAGTGATGTGCTCCAATCAAATGAATAGTAGGTATGGTACCCCATTTTTTAAAAATGTACCGGAGTTGTCACCTTATTTAAATCAAGTTCTCAAACCGATTTTGATGACATTTGATGCGGTCGTTTTGACTCATTTGCTGCGATTTTTGCCCGCGACAATAGCAGGAGCAGCAAATTCCGAAAATTGCTATTTGCGGCGGTCGTACCCGCAACAAATAAGGTTTTAAATAAAAACACTTTTTGCTGCGTTTCCTCAACAACCGCAGCAAATAGATAACCGAATTTAATTTTTTTGCGGCGGTCCTTTACAACCGCAGCAATAAGTATTCATAAAAGAAAAATGTGCACCTTATTTACACATTATTTTCTTTTAATGGACATTTGCAATCAATCAAAATACCAATCCAAATATCAAATATCAATCCAAATATCACAAGACAAAAAAAGTTACCTAAAAGTTATATAGTTAATACATTTTCAATCTAATATAGAGTTTACAACAAATTGTCGCAAACATATATCGCCAAAAGTTATATAGTGAATACATTTTCAATCTAATATAGAGTTTACAACAAATTGTCGCAAACATATATCGCCCATCTATCACGAATTTCATCAATTTCTGCCATTGAAAACGCCTCATCTCGTAAGGTGCTCGTGTACACCTAAAATATAAAGCAGTTCTAATTAGTACAACTACGATTTGGAATATAATTTCATAACAATAACCCTTTCACATTATAACTAAAACATTTCTCATGAATACACACACACACACATGAACACATACCTTCTCCAGATCTTGACCTTCATTGATACTTCTACTCAGATCATACATGAATCTCATCATATAATATCCACACTCTAAGCCGCCCGTTTGTTTTGCGCACTGAAAAATTATACACAAAATATACTTTATATTCATATTGCTCACTACTAAATTAAATGACTTAGAAACTATAGTAAAATATTTAGTGAAATGTTATATATACTTATACCTTCATCTGTTTCCAAATGATCTTGTTCACTTTTTCACTTCCATGGGCACAAGTATTTCGAAAAACACTATTATTATTATGAAACATTCAAAGTTAGAACATAGTTTTGATGAACGACATAGCTAATGCATTAACAATTCTCATGTTTGCGAAGGAAACATTTTATAAAATTACCTGCTGAACAATGACATGATTAATAAACGACGCATTGGGCTAGTTCGAAGAGAATGAATCATACACAAATATCATGCCACGTGAGATACAAATCACAAGCAATACCCAGTGATGACTACATGAGTAATTAGCGATTTGTGTTATATAATAGCTAGAAAACATAGTTTCTGATTAATAACATTAAAAATCTCGTCATGCTAAAAGCCATATTCTCTACCATTTTACAAATTTCAAAAGCGGCCTTAGATATTACAATAGGGGAATTTGATTTTGCACCCCACTTTTTGGGTGATATTTGACTTTGCACCCCATTACAAAGTCAAATTCCCCCATAACAATAAGCAAAAGCAAACATGTTTGTTGAGGTTTAGTCCCGTAGATCCGGAAACCCAACATAAACTTCGGATATTAAGGACGATGAATTCGGTATAAATGTAAATAAAGAATATAAAAGTGTATGAACTAGCTATTTTTACGTGGAAATCCGGAAAGGGAGAAAACCACGGGGCTTTTTAGGCTAACATCTAAGCCCGCTCTTTTTCATTAAATTGCTCTCCTCACCATTTACATAATACATATATGGAGCTTCCATTAATGGAGCTTGAGATACTTGCTAATCTAAAGAGGGAGGAGAAGAAGTAGAGCTCCTGGAGCTAAGAGCCAAAGAACAACCTTTTTTCTAAAATAGGAGGCATTCCTCTCTATTTATAGAAGGGGAGGGGAAAACCCTCTAGTTTAACGGGCCGAAAAGGCCCTAATGGGCCGAAGCAGGCCTAAATAGGCTGGGCGAGCCTGAATGGGTCTCGCCGATTGGGCTCCGTATCGGGGTGATGCTTTGGGCCTCGGAATAGTAGTAGGCCGGGATAATATATCCCAACACAAGTCCCCCAGTTTCTTGAGTAGTAAGCTTGTGAATCTACTCGAGAAAGTATACTCTTGCTCACGTCCTTCCTTGCCTTTCCGGAATAGGCGTCTTCGACTGGTCTCGGACGCAAGGCATGCATATGTCATAAGTGAGGTGCAATCCTGCACTAGGCACGACGGCGCTGAAGAGCCTGCCGCTCGTGCTGCATAAGACGGTGGTCCCGACCCTGAATGTCATGGGCAGACTCGACCAAGAAGTAGGCACGATGGCGCTGAAGAGCCAGCCGCTCGTGCTGCATAAAAGCGGCGGTCGCCATCCCAGATCAGGGATGGACGAGCCCGACCGAGAGCCAGACACGACAGTGCTGTGGAGCCCGTGTGTGCTGCATAAAAGCGGCGGTCGCCATCCCAGGTTAAGGATGGATGAGCCCGACCGAGAAGAAGGCACGATGGCGCTGACGGGCCGATCGTGCTGCATAAGACGGTTGTTGTCGTGGTATAGCCTTACGTTGCCATGGTCCTTACGTTGCCATTACATGGCCTTACGTTGCCATGGTCCTTATATTGCCATCGTCGAACATGAACTAGACACGATGGCGCTGAGGGGCCTATCGTGCTGCATAAGATGGTCATCGCCGTGCTATGGCCTTACGTTGCCATGGTCCTTACGTTGCTATTACATGACCATACATTGCCATCGTCGAACATGAACTAGACATGATGGCGCTGAGGGGCCGATCTTGCTGCATAAGATGGTCGTCGTCGTGGTATGGCCTTACGTTGCCATTACATGGCCTTACATCGCCATGGTCCTTACATTGTCATCGTTGAGCACGGACTAGACACGACTCTGACAGACGTGGACTCGACTCGATTTGGACAGACATGGACTCAACTCGACTCGGATATACATGGACTCGATTCGACTCGGATAGACATGGACTCGATTCGACTCGGATAAACATGGACTCGACTCGCCATCTTCCAAATCCATAGTTCTGATGCAACCTGTTCGGTTCTTCCGTTCCGGGCCATCCATACTAAGGGTTTGAGATGTCCATTTTCAAACTAAACACATGTAAGAGCCCCCACTCGGGTTATCTCCTGTGTTTAGCTAAAACAGAGACTCACCTCCAAGTCATAGCTCTGATTCCACCACGACGATTTTCCTTCGTCACGGTTCGTCAGAGCTACATACTGAGGCGAGGTTTGAAAACCATAATCTCGATCCCCCGCTCGGCCACCCGTGTCACCGAGTGCCGCCAGGTGAGTCCTACTCATAGTTTTACACCATCTCCCAAACTGGCCTGAATCCCCTGCTCGGTCGTCCGGAGCAGAGGGTCAAGTCCAAGCTGAAATGGTGGCTCCCTCCAGACCATGACGAAGGTCCTCATTCGGTCTTCCAGAATGATTTCCCACTTTTGTGGTCGAGGTGAGGCTTCTCAATGATGATCACGTCGTGCCGGGGTGGCCGGCCATGGAGCTATAAAAGCAGTCCGATTATCTGGATAATATGTCTTCCTCCGTGGAGCGTGAAGATGCCTTCAGTGTGATAAAACATGTTGTGATGCGAGGCCGATCATGATATTAGGACAGCGGCGACAAATGCAACAACGATCCATAAAATATAGTCATGTTGTGACGATGTCGGTACTAAGGACATCGATCTGAAAATTTGAACAGCGATCCTCATCCGCGGGGAGCAAAGGCCGGTCTTCAGATAAAGAAAATCATGCCGTACTGATAGGGCGGTCGTGATGTGCACCACATTAAATGCGGTGGTTTGGACGTGACGCCGCATTAAATGCGGTGGTTGCTTGTCTCCAAAGGGAATCTTCGATGATTGAGCCCGTAGCCGAAGGCTCCCTTGTGTAGCCGAGGGCTCTGTGTGGCCGAGGGCTCTGTGTGGCCGAAGGCTCCCCTGATGCCGAGGGCACGAAGATGCCGAAGGCTTCCTGATTTCTGCAATCTTCACCCAGTAGCTTCGTATGCTCAAATCTGGCTGTCCTGTGAGTTTTGGAGCCCTCGGCCATAGGGCCGAAGGCATCCGTACGTGCACCGTGGGCTTCTTGGTACTTGGACCGCTGTGTTTGGGCTTCGTGTGCTCATTGGGCTTGATGGGCCTGTGTTAGAGTAGTAGAAGTCTGTGGGCCGGGGGTCCCTGGGCCATATACTCCATCAATCAAGAACACATGATTCTTTTTGAAGCGTTTCCAACAGACGGCGCCAATGTTGAGGTTTAGTCCCGTAGATCCGGATATTAAGGACGATGAATTCGGTATAAAAGTTAATAAAGAATATAGAAGTGTATGAACTAGCTATTTTTACGTGGAAACCCGGAAAGGGAGAAAACCACGGGACTTTTTAGGCTAACGTCCAAGCCCGCTCTTTCTCATTAAATTGCTCTCCTCACCATTTACATAATACATATTTGGAGCTTCCATTAATGGAGCTTGAGATACTTGCTAATCTAAAGAGGGAGGAGAAGAAGTAGAGCTCCTGGAGCTAAGAGCCAAAGAACATCCTTTTTTCTAAAATAGGAGGCATTCCTCTCTATTTATAGAAGGGGAGGGGAAAACCCTATCGTCTAACGGGCCGAAGCAGGCCTAAATGCTTGGGCCGGGCGAGCCTAAATGGGCCTTACGCCCTCACCGATTGGGCTCCGTAATGGGGTGATGCTTTGGGCCTCTGAATAGTAGTAGGGTGAGATAATGTTGCTTGTTAATCTTCTTAGCATTTGTTTCTCCTTTAAATATCTTCAAGAATGCTAAAACTAGCCCTTAAGCTTTCTTAAATCATCCTGTATGTAAAGCAAGCTTGCTAAAGTCAAAACTTCTGTTGGTATTGGCCCGATCCATTTCCCTAAGCCCATTTCCATCAAACTTTACCCAGCCCCTTTTGGTTTACCATCCTACTCGATCGGCTGTCAAACGGCTTCTTTCCTATGGCGATCCTTTCCTTTCTTGCGACCGATTCTCAGCGTAGCTCCCTGGTTTGGTAAGTTACCTTCTTTACTACCCGTGTTTCGCCTATTTATTCTCTCTTCCTCAGCCGATGAGGGTTGGACTCGCAAAAACCCTGATTTCCCTTATTCGAATCTGCCGCTTCTCTGTGAGGGTGCGTGATCGGAGTTGGCCGGAATTAGATCGTTGGCTGACGCCCCTTCTTCCCTTTGTTGACCTTGGTGGTGATCTTAGCATCCTTTGTGGGTGTAAACCTTGGAGACCTGAGCTGGAAGTAGTTTACAACAGTGGTATCAGAGACACGGAGGTCCTGCCGCCGCCTGCCGCCGCGTCGCCGCCGCCCAGAGGTCGCCGGAGGTCCAGGGAGTGCTGCTGCCGTCGCCTGGAGTTGCTTGGTGCCAGTTCAGAGCTCTGCCAGAAGCTTCCAGTCCGGTCCAGAAGCTGCTGCCGCCTGCCAGGAAGGTCTGCCGCTGCCCCAGTCCGCTGCCGCCATCCACGCCGAGTCTACAGCAGCCCGCGCTGCCTAAGGTAAGTCGGGTAACCCAACCTCGGGCCCCGCTCAGGTAAATTGGCGATAAACATCCTTGGTGTACCGGAGTGCCACCGGATTTAATTTTCCCCCGCTCCCCCGCTGCTGACCTACGTGGTCTAGGATGCCGGCTGTGCCCGGCCCCAGGTACGTTTACTAATCCTTTGTGTGATTATTATTCGTAGTTCATTCATTTTTTTTTTAATTTTCAAGTTGAATTGCAATTACTTTGTTGTTTGAATTGTGATTACTTGTTTGTTGGACCGTGAATTAATTTTCCGGTGAAGAATATTTTGTTTGGATACCCGTTGTCCAAAGTTGTGAATATTTCTTCCGGTTTAAATTTAATCACGTGTTGGATTTTTATTTTTGATTTTTTCTGTTAATTGATTCGTGGATAAACTCTCCGGTTAAGAATATTTGTTTGGATACTTGTTGTCCGAAGTTGGGAATATTTCTGTCCGGATTAGTTTTAAATCCCGTTTCTTTGCTTGTTGATTTAATTCTAGCCTATTTGTGCTTGTACGAAAGAACAAGGAGATTGTACCCCGAGCTTTGTGTTCATTGGTCTTCTCGGCTTGTTCGTGCTAGTTGCTTCGTACAATTGATAGCCCTATAGGTTAAAATTAATCATTTATCTGTCTGTTGAGTAAATAAAAAATTTTATCTTGCTTGTACGAAAGAACAAGGAGATTGTACCCGAGCCTTGCGTTCATTGGTCGTCTCGGCTTGTTCGTGCTAGTTGCTTCGTAC